AGCCCAGCCAGCATGGCTCAGTGGTTGAGAGGCAACCTATGAACCAGGAGGTCATGGTTCAATTCCCATGGCTCATGCCCAAGTTGTGGGCTTGATTTCCAGTAGGGGACATGCAGGAGGCAGCCAATCAATGATTTTCTCTCATCATTGATGTTTCTATCTTTCTCTCCCTCTCTCTTCCTCTCTGAAATTAATAAAAATATGTTTTTTTTAAATGGTGACAGATGTTAACCAGATTTATTATGGTGATCATTTCATAATATATACAAATATATTGACTTATTTCACCTGAAATTAACATGTTATGTCAATTACACCCAAATTTAAATAAATAAATAAATAAATCCCAATACAGGCAAAACTAAATAATGCATTATTTATAGATACATACATAGGTGTTAAAAACTTACAAAGAAGAGAAGAAATGATCTCCCCAAAATTTGGAGTAGAAGTTAACTGGCGGGGGGGGGTGTAGAAAGAGAAGGACATGAAGTGAATTTCAAAAATATGGGAATTATTTCTAACTTGAGTGATGAGTTCCTAGTTATTTACATTTATAATTTTAAAGGTACATATTTACTTTTGTACACATGATTTATTTCAGTTTTAAGAAAAGGGTAAACATGAGTTTTATTAAAAAAATAAATAAAATAAAAAACCTTAAGTAGCCCTGAGTTTAGATATTAATCTCCTAAATTTTTTACTTAACAACTATGTGACCTCAAACAAGTTATTCTCTATGCATCTTGGTTTCCTAATCTTCAAAATGGGGAAGTTGGATCTCACAGAGGGTAACAGTATTTCTAATACCTACCTTTCAGGAATATTATTAGGGTTAAATAAAATAAAATGTGAAAGCACTAGAACAATTCGTGGCACATGATAAGCAGTCAATAAACATTAGACATTTCCATTATTTTATTATAGAGGATATTAAATAAATGCTAATTTCCTTCTGTCTTTTCATTCAGAAAGGAAAGAGAAACTCCACAGTCCATTCTGAATTCCAATAGAAGAATCAAGCAGTCATTACTGTTTGTAGTTTGCTGCATTACTACAGTGTTTCTTCAATTCTAAAATGCTTATTATGTGAAATTTTAATGCTTCTAAAATTAGGATTACATCTTAAAATCAATGTACCATTTGGTATAAGTTTTCTTCCTAGAAATCTTTTATTAAAAAGATATCTTACAATTGATTGTGTCTCAGAATTGAGAAAATGAAATAATTGTGCTGTCACTATAGCAGGCATGACAGTTTTAAACAAGAATAGCTATGCAGCTGAAATCAATTTGGCTCAGTGGATGCGGACTGAAGGGTCCCTGGTTCAATCCCGATCAGGGGCATGTATGTTGGTTGTGGCCACATCCACACTGGGAGGTGTGCAGGAGGCAGCTGATCGATGTTTCTAACTCTCTATCCCTCTCCCTTCCTCTTTGTAACAAATCAATAAAATATATATTTTTAAAAACAAACAAAAAAGAATAGCTATGCAACCAGAGAGTTCAGGCCTCGGGTTTTTTGTGTTGCAGCAAAATACCTCAATTGTCATAACCTTGAAAAAAAAACATGAATTTTCTATTAGTAGTCTGATTTTCCCCAGACCTCTGCAGAGTTACAATCTCACTTCTTTCTTCCCCAAACAACCCAGGCCTAATGAAGGGTATGGCTTTGTTTTTTTAATTCAAGTTTCAATAACTTATTTATAAAACATATCTTAAAGGCTTCTAAAAATTAAGATTAAAAAATCATTTTGTTGTACCAATTTACCTTTATGTTTGAAAAAGGTTGGCAAGAATCTATCAACCTTACTAGAGAAATAATTCAAAATTCACTTTTTACTAAAAATGGGTCAATAATATTTTCCTTGGAAACAAAAGATAGCAAACCATTGTAGAATTAAAAACAATTCTCAAGCTCTTTTTTCAAAGGTTGCTGAATCAATTTTCTTGACTGTTTTTAGTGCCAAAATAGCAGCACAAAGCTTCCCACTTCAGATGACTAATTTTATGAGCCTTTCAATGTAATATAGATTATTTCATTATCTAGAGATGTGAAATTCTAAAACCATGGGGCAATGGTTTGATAATTTACTATTTAATAAACTAAAAAAGTAGTTTATTCATCCTTTCTCCCATTTTTGAGAGGAGAGAAGCAACTTAATTTTTCGATGGCCTTGTTTTGACAAAGATTTAAAAAATAGCTTATTTAAGTAATTGGTTAAAATAACTATACATTAAATGAAATTTCATTTGATAGGTCTATGTTTAAAAAATATAACTGTTCTTTTTTATGTGGTTACTAGTGGCCCAGTGCACGAAATTTGTGCACATTAAAAGGGGGACCTAGCCAAAACTGGTTTGGCTCATTAGATAGAGTGTCAGCCTGCAAACTGAAAGGTCCAGGTTTGATTCTGGTCAAGGTCACATACCTTGATTGTAGGCACATCCCCAGGAGGCAGCTGATCGATGTTTCTCTTTCATCGATGTTTCTAACTCTCTATCCCTCTCTCTTCCTCTTTGTATAATAAAAAAATCAATGAAATATATATTTTAAAAAATAAAAATAAAAGGAGGACCCAGAATCAAGTTCCCACCCACCCACATGCGCTCAAAATTGTGTGAGACCCAGACCCGACTTCCCCCACCCCAACTGGCCTAGATCCAGACCCAGCCACTCCCACCCTTGTCAAGCCCTGCCAGGCAGAGGCATAGACTCAGGTCCCCTGACCCAGCACCAGGATGGGGGCACAGCCTGAGTTCCCCCAACCCAGCACTGGGGGTACACCTTGAGGTCCCCTGTCAAGCCTCATAGGGGTGGGGGAGAGTGTAGGCTCAGGTCCCTGCTGATTGCTCATTAGGCTTCTTAAAGGAATTTGGTCTCAGCTGTTGCTGCAGCCATCTTTGTGAGGGAATGATGGTCAATTAGCATAGTCCCTCTTTATTAGATAGGATATACAAGCCTAATAAAATGGATTGCTCCATTTTGTTACTTATTTGTCCAGGTCTACTCAGGATCAGAACATTGCTAGATGGGAAGCCCCTCTCCATAGGCTATATTTTGATTTGGCATCTGGAAGCAAAGTTGCTGAGAGAGGTCAGGTTAATTTTGCTATGAGGGAAATCATTACCTACAAAAATCAAAGTTTAACAAAAGATTTCATTCCCTGAATTGAAAGATGAGGAAGCATAGAAACAAGAAATTTAGACAGTGAGGTTGATGGCTAAAATAATTCAGAGAAGGATAGTCAAGTGCAAGTTTAAATCTGGTGATTTAGAGTCTCAACTTTGAATAGACAATGTATGTTCCATGTAATTTAGTTTAATCCAGGAGGTTCTTTACCCTTCATCCTCATGAAAGAGGAGTTCTGGTTCAGAAGTCAGAGCATTCTTGAAACCACTCGTGTCTGCAGGCAATGGAGGAAGAGCCCACTCTCTGGAACAAAACAGTTTTTAGACAGCCTGGCTGCCCTTTTCAGGCCTCTGCTCATATAGTCAAATCCCTTCATGTTTCCAAGTCCAATGTTTTCATTGTTCCAAGAACAATTTGCACTTTTTAATCTAGAAAGGGACAATCAGGACAAGACACTAAACACTATTCAATTATGTGAAAGAATTGTTAAATATAAACCCAAAGAAGGGCTGGAGTTGGTTAGATGCTTTATTATAGGTACATAGGCATGACTATGGCAAATTGCTGCAATTTGTTGAGAATCATATCATGTTCCACAAAATAATGTTTGCAAGAACTACCACATCTAACAAAACCACTTAAATCTAAGACTTGCTCAAAACCACTCCTTGGGAATCAATAGCCAGCTATGGGATACTTGAGCACCTGCCCTCACTGGATTGAAGTCCTGATTTTTCCTGTGTATAAATTAGCTCTGAAATTAGAAATAGGGGAATATGGTGGGTTGACATCCTGATAGAGCTTATCCAACTATTTCTACTTTACTGTGCAGACCACCTTCCTCAACTGATAACCAGTCTGTGGCAAATGCTTTGAGAAATATGAGTGAACGCTTCAAAAAGAAAAAAGATGCAACTGCAATATTAAAAACCCATGCACTATCCATTTGCATATGTCTTATTCCTTCTCTTCTAAATTCTTACTGTACAATAGTATGTAGTTATTTATTAAGTTTAAGTTTGACTCAACTATTATAGATTTACTCCTTCTCCCCTCCAAAACAATAGACAATTGTGACTGATCAGCCTCACATTCTGAATTCTGCTATCAAGCCTCTGACACTGTTGATACTTCATGCCATGGAAGCATGTTAGTTACTACTGGGCTCAAGAGTTCTGAGGAGACTTCAGATCCACTTTATAAGTGGTGTTAGAAGTTTCTTGGGGTCACCTGGGGAACCTGCGAGGGGAAAATAGGTAGGATATAAGGCCAGGAGGGACTCCCTGCCCCTAGGGGGCAGTTTTTATTTATTTACTGGGATTTTTCATAAATTTCTGTCAGTACGAAGAGTTCAATTGATTTTCAAAGGTTTGAAATGGCTGGTGTGGTACATAAGAGGACTCAGACTTGGTTAGAAGGCCAGAACCTGCCACTTACTGTGGCAGGAGGGAAAGCACCTAACCTCTCCAATAATAATCTCTGCACTGCCTACCTCACAGGTTCGCCCTTTATGTCGAAATCACTACGAGTGTGGGAGGCATAAAGGGCTGCGCCTAGGTTCCACTGCAGTTTTCTCCAGCCGGAAGTCCCGTCTCCATGACCCTCCTTACTACCTCCTCACCCCTCACCCATCACCCGGAAGTGGACCCCGCGGGTCTGGCCGTCCACTCTGTACTCTAGGTCTTCCATGCGCGAGTGGTGGCATCCATTCCACCCACCAAGATATGAATCCCACCGGCCTAGAGTCACACCCTCCCCCACAAGAGTCCGACCGCGCAGACCTAGATTTCTACCCTCCTGGCCATGAGTTCAACTCTCTCTACCTAGAATTGGACTTGGACTCTGTTAATGAAGATCTTTCTCAACCCATGACAGGCGCCATGACAGAGACCTCTGCAGGTGCAAATGAACCCCATCCATCTACCAAACCAGAAGATCTCACAGAGGCCGAGCAAAAAAAGCTCAAGTCCGAACTCGCTAAATTGGAAGCTGAAATTGTAACCCTACGCCATGCGCTGGCAGACAAAGAAAGACACTGCGTTGAGCTCAAGAGGAAGCTGGGCCTCACAGCCTTGGTGGGGCTGAAGCAGAATCTGTCTAAGAGCTGGCACGAGGTTCAGGTCTCCAACGCCTACATGAAACAAAAGACGTCAGCTGCACTGTCCACCATGGGCTCGGCCCTCTGCAAGAAGCTTGGAGACATGAAGAAGTCATCCACATTCAGATCCTTTGAAGGTCTGGTGGGGACAATCAAGTCCAGAGTTGCAGGTGGCAGAGAGCTTGACAATGACTTCCTTCCTTCTTCATCGGGGTATGAAGATGATTCACCCCCAATTACAGGGAGTGAGAATGATCCAGTTCCAGAGAGTGGAGATGATCTGGTTACAGGAACTGAGAATGACCTGCTTCCCTTTCTGGAGCAGGAATGAGCCCTTTATAACTTGCCTGACCACCTAACCAATGCAAGAACTCCCTTCCCTCATCACAATTGCAACTCTGCCCATCAAAAACAAGCACCTAACCACAATGGGAAAGTTAATTCAGGAAAAGGACAGACTCCGATTTTGAGAAAAGTAATGTCCATTTTACACAGGTATTTGCTGCTGTTGAGATAGAAAAATCTAACGTTTTGTACCTGGTTATTTTACACTAAAGTATGTAGATCAAATACACTAAAGTATGTAGATCACTATACTAGCCTTCCTGGGGTTGTATTTAAATGGACAAGGCTGCCGGGACCGGTTTGGCTCAGTGGATAGAGCATCGGCCTGTGGACTGAAAGGTCCCGGGTTCGATTCCGGTCAAAGGCATGTACCTTGGTTGCGGACATATCCCCTGTGGGGGGGGGGTGCAAGAGGCGACTGGTCGATGTTTCTCTCATCGACGTTTCTAACTTTCTGTCCCTCTCAATTCTTCTCTGTGTAAAATCAATAAAATATATTAAAAAATAAAGTTTTAAATGGACAAGACAATGGTTCCAGAAGGGTTTAAGGCCAAAGCCAAACTCTTTTTTTGAAAACTAGTCTCATCAGAAGGCAAAGTAGGTTTCTGTTTAAAACTGGGAAAATGTATAAAGTAAGCTATAAATCTATGTACTCCCCACCTCCTTCCTTCACTAAATCTCAGAAGAAAACTTGAAAGCTTCAACTAGTCTATGATTTTTATTTTAAAAAGATGTTCAAGAAAACATTTTTAAAAAAAAACAAAAACATATTTTTTCTCTGAGACCCTCAGAAAGGGAAAGAATATTAGTAGATTAATTGCTACATAATACTATAACTTTTATAAAACTTGACTTTTTAAAAGTTCCTAATTAAGCAAAGTAACTTTAGCTTCAGTATAGTTAACGACTTTGGATTCAAGCCAAACTTGCAACTTTACTTTGCCTTATGCTGTGTTAGTTATCTTTTTATTTAGCAAAATGAGGGTTTTAAAGTTTAAACCTGTGGCAGCATGTCTCTGCCATAGCACCATGCCACTTAAAAGGGAGAAAGTTGCTCCTCAGTTCTGCAGCAATTCCTAGTTATCACCTCCAGCTGAGGGGCTGGAGAGACAACAGCACAGCCACATTTCCAGAAAAAAAACCCCTCTCTTAAGCAACATTTAAAACAGAATGTCCATCCCCTGTAATGCTGACTGTTATCCATTTTAATGGGATAACTAACTGATTATTCATCACTAGTCACCTTGACTCCAGGTCTGTCCTTATTTATAGCCCCAACTGAAAGGAAAAAGAATCCTATGAGTTTGAACTTTCTCATATCTGATTTTTACAGGAGCTATGATTTTTGTTTTTGTTTTCTTCTCCCATTTTCAAAATGCCAGGACTTGGCAGCTTCTTTCATTCCTCCAGTTCACACTGCCTGAGGTAAAAGTTTGGGTCTTAATGGCTTTCAGCAGGGGGACTAGGACACTTACTTGCAATGGGTATACCTTGATAACATCTCACTGCCTAAAGGTAGCCCCTCCAGTCTAAGAAGATTATCCTGATTTATTTATTATTGAATGCTCCCCCTATATTCCTATAAGCAAAACCAAATAATACCACTATAAGTGCAAAAGTACTTGGTAAACTGTAAAGTCAGTAATGTATCCCAACCCTCTACAGATTTCTGAAGACAACGTTTTGCTTGGATTAAAATAAGATACTCAACTATTTTTTAATCTGTTTGCCTTTTAATCTGTTGTGTTTATCAACTAAAATTATTTTTTTCTATGCTAAAGAACTAGAAACAAACTTTTGCAGCATGCATAAAGTCAAAATACTCCAATAGGCAAAGGCTTTGACCCCATTGCAGACAGCCTTGTGTTTAAGAAAAATTTCAGACTGACATCACGGGCCAAATCAGAATATGTTCTATTTTATTTAATAAATCAAACACATGTAGTAACAGTTTCTCCAAATAAATCCTCAACTCACTGAGAGCATTAAGAACATATCTATCCTTGTTCATCATTGTATTCCCATGCCTGGCTCAGGTAAACATTCAATAAATACCTTGCTGAATTAATGAATTAATATCACATTCTTCAGACATGCTCTCTAGAAATAGATTTTCTAATTGTTATAATTCACTTTAGTGGGTGCTAAAATAGAGAAAGTCTATGAAGAAAGAGTTTTCACCTCTGCCTTAGATCAGAAAATTTCAGAAAGATAGAAAGTCTTAAAGGACATAGTAGGAATTTGCCAGACATATAAAAATAGAACATTCCAGAAAATAGCTGGAGGAACTAAGTCAGGAAGGAATATAATAGAATGTCATGTTTCAAATAATATTAATAAGCCATTGTGGCTAGAAAGAAAGTATAAGTGGTAAGAGATAAGGATGGAGAAATAAACAGGGGCAAGATCATAAATAGTCTTATATGCTAAACTAGATATTAGTATTAATCCTGTAGGAAATGTGGAGGAAGGTACTTAAATCAAATTTGTGTTTCTGATAGATCACTCTGGTCACCATAGAAATAGATTCAGATGTATTTAAGAGGCAGAATCTCCAAAACTTAGGAAACAACTGAATGGGCAAGAAGGATGGATAGATTTGTGAGTTAATAAGGATATAGAATTTAAGACTTGATACTAACAATGCTGGAGGTGCACATTCATTTTGCTTTGGCTCTTTTTTTGGATTCCAGCATACCTCCACCAATAGCTATGGACACCAAATACATGCCTCCATAAGCATATGGACTCTTAATTAAAGCCTTCCTCCAGATCTCCTTTCTACTTGCTTCTTCCTTTCCTATCTATTGCTTACCCTTATTTTCTATCCTGTATACCTTCATAATTTGATAACCTTTGCTCATCTAGCCCTATTTGTATGTTGGAGCTTAGATTCAGTCTATTTAACTATAACCTGGCCACTTACAATGGGATACAATTTCCAATAGTTCTTGGAATATGTGAATCTCCAGAAATGCTCCATATTTGAATCTGGCTCTACTCCTGAGAAACACTAGTTGAAAGGAATATTGGAACAAAATTCCCTGAAGCTCCCAATTTTCTTGGTCTTCCATCACCCAGATGAGTGAAGGAGCAGGGGTAGAAAAGTAGAGACAAGGGTTGAAAGTTCTAATTCTCCCCAGATGACATTCCCTATGCAGCTGACAAGGGAGGGAACAGAATACCAAGCCCTTGTTTATTAGCATGATAGCATACTCTGGCATACTGCTATCATCACCCCCAGAGAAATTTACCAGGAACTTCTGGATTATACTTTACTTCTTAGCTCTAGATTTGAGAGATACTGTATTACATAACTTCCTTCATGGACTGAAAGAGGTAAGCAATCATCAGCTAACTAGAACTATAGTGGTAGGGTACTTGTTAGCCCTACCCACCAAGAGAACAATGATGCCATTTGTGAATATTGTTAGGAGAAAAGGTCACTTGGATCTGGGCCATGGATTTTCAGTTTTTGCCAATTAACTCCACTGTAAGAAAAAAAGGATGAGTGTTACTCTATCAAAAGTACTGGGGCCTTGCCCAGCCAGTGTGGTTTAGTGGTAGAGTATCAACCCATGCACCAAGAGTTCATCTGTTCAATTCCCAGTCAGGACATACGCCTGGGTTGCGTGCTTGATTCCTAGTGAGGTTGTACATGAGGCAGTTGATTAATGATTCTCTCTCATCATTGATGCTTCTATCTCTCTCTCCCTCTCCCTTCATCTCTCTCTAAAAATGAATAAAAACACATTTTAGCCCTAGCGGTTTGGCTCAATGGATAAAGCATTGGCCTGCAGACTGTAGGGTCCTGGGTTTGATTCTGGACAAGAGCATGTATCTCAATTGCAGCCTTGATCCCCATCCAGTCAGGACATGTATGGGAGCAACCAACTAACGTGTCTCTCTCGCATCAATGTTTCCCCCTCTCTGCCTCACACCCTCCCTTACACTCTCTCTCAAAAAAAAATCAATGGAAATATATCTTTAGGTAAGAATTAAAAACAAAAACAAAAACAAAACCACATATATATCCTGTATAATAAAAGGCTAATATGCAAATTGTCCCCTCAATAGGGAGTTCAACCAGGTGGGGGAGCTGGCATGCCAACTGTCTGTGGCCCCCCCACCCCTGGTTAGCCTGACCCAATTAGCCATGATTGTGACAGGCTGGCTACACCCCACTCATGTACAAATTCATGCACTGGGCCTCATATATATATATATACACACACACACACACCACTACTGAAGCCTCAATGCAATCATCATTTGAGACCATGTCCCACACCTGCTGACCAAATCTATTGATGGGATGCTTAGTAATGCCACAATTTCCAGTGCCTAGCATTGTTCACATAAGGAAAATGACAAGTGAAAAAAATGCCTTCTAAGTGATGCACCATGGACAGATAGTACAAACACATTATCAGTCATCTGTCAGAAATTACTAAGCAGGTCCTTAAGTTAAAAATGTCTGACATTTCTTGGGAATTCACCAGGTAGTTTTAAAGTTCATTTTCAGTTTATCTCTACTACCACTCAAATTTAACTGACCACCTCAGGAAGGGAAGTAGATTCCTCTGGAAGATGAAGGTTTTGGTCACCTAAACCCCAATCATGGCTACCTGGCTTCACACCATAGCCTCAAAACTGATGCATCCAACATGGTGCTACATCTCCAGGAAGACTTTCCTTGTGGAGCCTGGTCTGTCTAGACTTGATCTACCTACATGTATTATCTCCCCTACCCAAAAACCTGAGCTCAGAAGCCAGAGCACATAGAACTATTAAACACCTGCTGGTTGATGCCTTAGCTGCCTTTATACTTAACTAGAGGC